TTTGTTTATGTTTATCCCGCGAGTGCTTATTCGCGACATATTTCTTATAAAAACGAATTTTTTTTAATATCAAACACACCGTCATCTACGAAACATAACATCTATGAACAACATTTATAATTATATAAAGCAATTGTCATCGCTACAATAGATAAATTATTATTTATATTTATTAATTTATTTAGTCAAATATTCATTATTTTTATGACTTATTCCAGTTCAAAATCCAAAACATGAAACGAGCTTTTATGGGCTTAAATGCGAGCTTGAAATACAATTATCATTTTCTTCAAAATACAATATAATGCCTATCGCAAATCAATGGCTCTGGCTCAGGAAAATGTTTCCCGTCTTTCTTCTCACGGCGTCCTCTGCCTCTTTTTTCCGTCTGGAGAGTCCTTTTTCGTTTCCCTCATTCTGCTCTTATAGGCGGCTTCCTTCTCTCGTTATCGGCCGATTACCTGGTCTTCCTGAGCGAAAAAAAAATATAGCGGCTCCTATTTTCGTTCAAAGATGTGGTTTCTGGTAATTTCGTCATCACTCTTTTCCTGCTCTGAATTTTTCTCCCATCGAGGCTGCCAAGCCGTTGTTTATTTGGAGGAGAAAATATTCGCTTGCTAAGCCTTTTCTAGCTTTCTTTGGTCGAATGAAACGCCGTTTTTCGGGGAGACCCTCTGTTTGAGCCATTCGAAATTTTGTTTTAAAGTTTAATAATAGTTGATTGGATGAATTTTCCAGTTACTGTGCTCATAATCGGAAATGTTTGATAAAACTTGAAGAATGATTTTTGATTTTATTGCAGAATTTTTTTTCCATAGATCCTATTTGTTCAATTGTTCATATTGAAGTGGTGCAAATGCTCACATTTGGATGTTGAGATTGGAGTCTCCTATTGTGCCGATTTGGATCTTCGTTCCCTCTTCTTAGGCCCATTTATTTACTCTAGAATTCTCTTTTGGTTTAGAGGGCTCTTTTTTCGGTCGTCCCTCAAATCGACTTGCGACAGCATCTGGGGTCGGCCCGTCGGTTGCTCGTTATATTGGGTTGAGTTGGATGTTAACCCAAAAAACATGAGGAGAAGATTTGGGTGGATCTGTGGCAATCTGGGTATATTCAGAAATGTTATTTTTGATTTGAATCCAATTCCAGTTTTTTGTAATCATGATACGTTCCTAGGTCATTTTAAAGAGGATCCTTGTCCAATTTTGCAAGCAAAACGCCTAATCGATTGTTTCTTTTTTCTCAAACTTGCGAAAAGCTGTGCTGCTTCCGGTGTTTAAACGAACGAACATGAACTAAACATGAACACTCCTTAATTTAAATAAACCAAACATGAACACAAACGCTAAAGCTCGAACAAACATGAACCAAACTTGAACAAGCTGATATTAAATGAACACAAACATGAACACTCACATAGTCGGCTCGGCTCGGTTCATTTGCAGCCCTATTATATTCTAATAAAATAAGTTTTTTATTTAGAATTATACGCAAAGCATATTCAATGCTTTGATAAATTAAAATTAAAATTTTATACTAACCTAATCAATTGGATCCTAATGCTATAGATAATTACTTAAATGCAATGGTTGAAATTTTGTTCCATACAATCATGCCTCCATAAGATTGACAAACAAGCCTCAAATGATAGTGATGGAAAACAATCATGATCACATGAATTCATCACAATTGGATTAGATAGCTCTTTTGTTTGATTTTGTTGTCACTATTAATTTGTGGCATAATTGTTGGGAAATTTTTAGTAGTATTATGGGACTTGTATGCTTTTGATGGATTGTTGTTATTCTATAAAGAGGACATATTAGAGTTATAATTGGGAATAATTGAATCAAAGTCTTATTGAGTATTGTTCCAAGCATCTTAGCATTTCCTCCTACATTTTTTGTCCCCTCCAATTTGTCTTTTATATGATTTCATTGAATTAACATAACATATTACAAGAGATAAGATTTCATTTAATTAGGTTATAAAAAATCTTTTATAAATTAAATTAAGCTAATTAACTGCATATCAAATAATTAAAGAGAATTTTGACAAAATAGAGAATCAATTAAATAATTATAATTAATACATTAATTTTTTTACAAGTCATATCTAAATGGAGATTTGATTTGAAGAGTATAATTTTGATATGCAATATAACTAAGAGTACATAAATGGTATGCTTAGATGTGCAAAATTAATAAATGAAAATAAAGTTCTTTCTTATGTTGGGGATGTAAAATATAGTATTTAAAGAAAATTTATGAGAGTAGGAGTGAAGAGGTGGAATGAATGTGGGTTATGTGTAAAACCATGGCACCTCCAATTATGATGCCATTTGGGCTAACATATGAAGTGTGAAGAAAGAGATTGATCAAGTTAATTGTTATGTGGTGGGAAGCATTGCTTGAATAGTGGATGCATGGATGCCATAAGCTAGGTGGGAAAGCTAGATATTTGAGAGCATGGTGTTGGTCATACAAAATTAGTGGTGGATTGAGAGGTAACCAATTTAAAAGCAGTAGGGCATCATTTGACAGTGTGACATTGAATGCCACATGCTTGGCAATACATAATACAAGATTGGAAAGTTAGGTAAACAATAAAATTAATTGTTGTAAGGGGGTTTGAGAAAAGTGAGGTTTGCAGTGGTGGTGGACAAAGGCTATTGGATTAGCTACAATAAGTGAATGATGGATGCAATTTTTTGCTATGAAGAATAGTTTCATGATCGATAACTTTTCATGAAGCTTATTGAAGGTGATGAAAATTTCATGAACATTAACTCCATCAATACTACACTTTTAGTCATTATCAACACCATAACAAATGATGTCAATGGTTTAGTCTTCATTCATACGCTTGCCAAGAATATCAAGATGATTAGCACGAGTTTGTGCAAGTTGCATAAACTCGATGATGGTTTGAGATCATTTGGTATGACTCTTGATTTGATCCATAATCAATTTGTTAAGTCACTGGGGGAGTCTGGCATAGGTGTTTTGTAGGATGTTCTAAGTTTGTTCAAAGTGAAGTGTGTAAGAATAGGGATGCGAGGAGTGGAGAGATATCTGAAAAAGAATAAATAAATATAATTTTATTTCAACATATTTATCTATTATGAATGGAATTGGAAGATTTCATGTCATAAGCGGTGATGATAATAGGTGGGTAAGGGTGGGAGGCATCAATATATACTTTGAGGTTTATATCTGGTGACGGTGACATGAAATTGATGCTATGATATACCAATTTGTGGAGTTGTGCTTGATGCGATTGTGAGCGGAGAGATTGATGGAGATGAATGGATGATTGGGCTCATGTGTATTGAGTATGGTGGATTGGGGTGACTATTTTTGAGGTTGCTTGAGAGGCCATGGTATGACAATATATATTGAACTTTGGAGAGGGTTGGTTGTTTGGTTATTTTTAGAGAATAGATGGACAATAATTGATAAGGGCGATGTCATTATAGAGAAAAGAGAGGCCATAGGTGGAGGCCTGTGAAGAGAGAGAGAGAGAGAGAGAGAGAGAGAGAGAGAGAGAGAGAGAGAGAGAGAGAGGCATCATGAGCATAAGGAGGTAGGGGATCTACTACACATATTTCAAAATTTGAATAATAACTTATTATATTGAATCAACATAATAGATAACAAAAATATATAATTCAATTGAAGTAGGCGATAATAATCTTGTTATAAATCAAGCTAAGTCAATCAAATATAAATAAAAAAATTAAAGAGGATATAAATAAAATAAAAAATGAACTAAATATATAATTCCACTTATTATTTTACATTTCTCTCCTGATTTCTCTCTGCTTTACATGACAAATATATATATTTTTTCTTGCATGTCATGACTCCTTCACATGATTCCTGTTTCCTAAGCATTTCTCGACTCTTCTATGTGCCCTGTGTTTGGATTCCCTCATAGGATCTCATCACCACCCTAATTAAATTGCTATCCAATTTTAAAAAATAATCACTGAACTAATTTGCAACGATTAAATTACTAGTATTTAGAAAAGCAAAAGTCATAATTAGACTTCTGTTATAAATTTTGATATCAGACGAAAATTTGATTAATGAATGCAAAAATATAATTAGTTTTATAAATAGTAAAAAAAAATGAGTACAACAATACAAAATCCCCCACCCTAAAAAGATGTAGAATTAAATTGTTCAGTTTCTTAAATGCTCTTCATCCCTCCCAAGCAGGTAGGAAGCCATCAATAATTCATTAGTGTTCTCCTAATGACTAATTTAGGCTTCATTTGAGACATCATTAGATCATAACTAAGAAATGCTAATTAAAAAGTACCTCATATATTAACCACTCATAAAAGTATTTCATATATTAACTTAGAAAGATCCAAATCCCTTCCATCATTAGGCAGAAGCATACACTGAAAGAAAAGAACAATAAACACAAGCTGACAGAGGATGAAGTTCATTCAGGGAACCATATTTTTTATCACATAAGCTTCTTATTCATTATAAGCACATAGCACACACCATCACAATTAGAACAAGCAAGCACGCAGATCGCTTGTTCCTCCCCTTCGATCTAATTAGCTTCAGTTCATTTGCAGTTGCATGGGTCACAGGTGCAGTTTGACCCGCACTTGCACCCGTTCTCAGATCCCTCGGCCATCTCGAATCCCTCAAATCCCCTGCAAAAGTAAAATTAGTTCAAATCCTCAGTCATCCGTTAGTTCAAATTACTTCTGATCTTAAAGGAAATTTGTTCATCTGCAAATTCATCTTAGTTCCGCCCGCTCCTGCGCGCTTAGGGTTTTAACTTTTAATCTCATAAAGAAGATGATTAATTAGTAAATACCCCCTGGCTGGTGCTAATCCCAGGATCATAGTTTCAGTGGAGCCGATCTTCTCTTCAGCCAAACCAGGGTACATATTGCACCTGAGAAGTAATTTCAAGAAGAAGGCAAAATAATTATCCGAAAATTAAAAAACATAACAAAATAGATTAGATCAAGCGAAAAATACCCGTTGCATCCGCTGCCACACTTGCAGCTGGAGCCGCAGCCACAGTTACCACCGCAGCAGGACATTTTCAGGGTTTTCTGAGGAAAATGATGGAAAAGGATTTTCTAAGGAAATTGGGGCTCTACTAAAGCTGGGATGTGGGAAGGGGAAGAGACGATCGCCATTTATAGAAGGAGGAGGCGAGGTGGATGGATATCAACCGTCCACGTGTTGGAATCTGGTTGCGTTGTTTTTGAAGGGGAAATAAATTCTGGACGTAACTTTCCTTCCTGCGTCTTGTATCGGGCATCATTTTCCTCACGCTTTAATAAAGGGGTAATTTTTTTATCTCAATAAACATTATTTGTTCATATTTTATTAGAAATATAGATAGAGAAATTATAAATAAAAATATTTTTTGTTCATATTATGTAATGAATTTAATTGCTAATTCACTATATTAAAATAAAATAATAAATTAAAATATATTTATATTATTGTTAGTTTCTTCAAGCTAAATAAACGTAGGGGTATAAGAGTCAAGCAAGAAAGACTTTGACTTACTGATTTTAGGGGATTCGAGAGTTTGTCTTTCAGGTTGATCTAGTTCAGACTTGGATCAATTGGCCTAAGAGAATTAGGTCTTTCAATTTCTACTTGAGCAAATCAAAATAATAGGCCCCTTTTATCAATGGCGGAAAAAATAATTATGTGTGGACATCAGATGGCGTTAGGAGACTAATCAGAATGCACTACATTGTTTTTTTTTTGTTCGGTACTGGTGCTCGATACCGTTATGTACCGAGTGATGTGACGTGTTTTGATTAGTCTCCAGACCATCCGGTGTCTGCACAGAATAATTTTTCTAATGGAGGTGCCCTATTATTACCTCTTAATGCTCCTAGTCATATATTATTCATATAAGGGATGTTGCGCATCACTAAAGTGTGGTTGTGTATTTCATATGATTGTTAAATAATGATAATACATTTTCTGATTCTGTTGATTTAATCTGTTCTGATTTGTATTCTGATTTGATCTGATCCGTACAACTCTGATTTTGATTTGATATATGTCCGTATAAGTTCTGATTTGATTCTGTTCTGATTCGATATACGATTCTGTTCAGAATTCTGATTGGATTTTGGTCTGATGTGTTTGGTTTTGGATTCTGGAAGTTTTGATTGGAGGTTTGTCGCTTTGCTGAGCTGTTGAGCTCACTCTTGTTTTCTGGTGGTTTTCAGGTTCTGGGAAAGGGAAGGAGGTCCAGGAATAGATTTCAGAGTCTGATCCGTAGGTATTGTTTTGTACTTTTGATTTTTGTACAGACATGGCTCTTCTGCTCTGTTTCTTTCCGTCTGAGCCATGGTCTGTAGTTGTAGATGATTGTTTTGAGGAAGAAAAAGATAGATGATCTGTTCCGCTGCATTTGATGTTTATAGTAGCTCTGCGCGTCTATTTTTGTCTATATGTTTGGAAGAAAATTCTGAAACAAATTCCAAAGCTAGATCCTGGAATCAGTTCAGTCAGTCTGAATGTTAAGGCACCACGATCCGATGCGAGCGGGATCTGTCCCGGTCGGGTTGGGTCGTGACACTTTGCATTCTGGAATTTATTTCGGTACAACCGTACAAAACCGCGACGCTATTGACTTGAATATTTCAATATTGTATTATCTAGTTAGAGATGGACAGAGAGCTTAGCGCCGCGACACTCCAACCTCTCTCTGTGGCAAAGAATGAAGTATTGCAACGCTATCAGACAAACTAGAGACAGAGAGTGGAGCGATCGTTGCACTCCAAACCTAGCTTCGTAACACTGTGAGATGGGCTAATAATTTTCTTCCTTATTTTTCATGAAGGTTTATCCCTTAGTAGTTTTATTACGTATCTTTTCATTAGTTCTTGTAAGAGAACAATATAAGAGTGAAGAGAGAACGAAAAAAGGAGAGAGAAGAGAAATTACTACCATTTTGACCAAAATTTCATTTTAAAATTTTTATTATGGTGTGGCTCTATAGTTTTTCCACTTTATATCCTGGTGTTCTTTTTTTTTTCGCCGCATTTTCTCATTCTTATTTGTGTTCGCTGCTTGATTTACTCCCACAACAAATATCAATATTGAATAAAAATATTAAACTCATCTTCTTGTATTCATTCAATCAAATATGTGGGAAGTTAAGGGGGAGAGGTCAATTAGAAGAATTAATAAGCAAACACAAATTTTTAAAATTTATATAGTATTATTGTGTGCCGGAATATTTGTGACGATAGAGAGATATAGATTAACGTCCAACTTTATAAGAATATCCAACACACATATAGATAAAGAGAGATGTGTAATAAACATAAGAGACAATGAAATTTTGATGTGGAAAATCCAAGAATGGGAAAAATCACAGAATCTGACCCAATTAAAATGGTTTCACCAGTGTTTGTCGTTGATTATAAATAATGCCCTTACTCGGGGGAAACAATTGAGCTTATCATATCATATATAGATGTCGAAACTCACTGCATCTCCTCTCAGAGAAAGGGCATCATTCGTAATCATCAACAAATACTAGTGAAATCATTTCAACTGAATTATGCATTGTGGTTTTTCCTTTTTTTTTTTTTTTTTTTTTTTTTTTTTTTTTTTTTTTTTTTTCTTTTTTTGGTTCTCCACGTAAAAAATATTGTCTCTTATGATTGTTGCACCCTCTCTCTTTATTTATATACATGTTGTATCTACGAGCAAAACTAGAACATTAAATTATATCTCTCTCTGCAACAATTATATTAATTTGTTAGAACTAAGAAATTAAATTAAATTAATAAGGAAGCAGTCAGAGCGAAATCCAGCAACGTGGCAATACAAATTTGTCGTATTTGACAATTTGTTTACTTAATTAATCTAAACATTAATTACAAATTACATGTCCACATGATCAACACTTTATTTTTAAAAATTAAATGTTAATTTAATTTGAATGTTGTGCTGTATTATTTTATAGAGAAATCGATATACTTCCAAAGAAATTTACAATTAATTGGTCGGAAGCTTTGGCTACTAATTTAGAAGTCTTGGGTTCGAGTCTTACGTATGTGATGTGTGTGTGAATTTGTCTTAATTGACCTAAATATTCCCAAAAAAATATCAGTTGGTTTTGATGGGATGTAATATCTACTTATGAATGTTGCATCTCTATCTTATCTGTCTGTGTGCAAATCTTCGTACAAAATTAGAACGTTAAACTATATATATCTCTTCCGACACGAATGTTCTTACATGCAACAATGATGGATTTGAAAAATATAAATTTTTTGATGTATTTTTCTAAGCAGATTTATCGATTTGCAAATCCCTCTTGATCAAATTTTAGCCAAAACATTCAAACCTAAATTTTATCACTAATCTATTGCTTCACATAATTTGATTTTTACTCTCGATCCCATACAGAGAATCACTTTAATAAAAAAAAGCATAAATTACCTTTCATTATTCTCATCATCCTTCACCACATAGAAATATATAATACATTCCAGCTTTTCATATGATCATGCATCATGAATGCATATACATAATCAAACAAACACTTTACAAAATCAAACAAAGCATATTTTGTAGCTATTATAGCTTTACAATACAACGTACAACAATAACAACATCAAGCCTTTATCCCACTACGTGGGGTCGGCTACATTAATCTTTTTTCTCCATTGTGTCCTATTAAAAGTCAAATTCTGGTTTAAATCTAATAAAGAAAGGTCATTCCTAATATTTTCTAACCAAGTCTTTTTAGGTCTACCCTTACCTTTCTTAACATAAGTCAAATCTAATACCTCTACTCTCCTAACCGGGTCATCGGAAGGCCGTCGTTTTATATGACCAAACCATCTAAGGTGACTCTCTCTAATCTTATCTTCTACTGGAGCTACTCCAACCTTTTCAAGTATATGCTCATTTCGTATCATATCTCTAGCTTTACAATAAAAGCATATAAATGTTTAATATAGTAACAATAGAAAATTAAAAGTTGGAGTAAGATTTCGTTTGCGACGGATTTCTTACGGTTTCTTAAATAAGTTTTTTAGTACAAAAAAATTTGCTTTAAGAAACTGCAAGAAAGCTGTACCAAACGAAACCTAAAGATTTCGTTTGGAACAGCTTTCTCAATGCTTTCTAAAAGAGCTTTCTTGAATTAGAAATTTTGATAATAAAAAGTTTTTTAGAAAGCAATGAAAAAGCTGTTCTAAATGAAGTCTATATTAGCTACTTTTTGTTGGCATAGTACAAACTTGAATTACTCAAAATTGAAAGAGACTATCCTCCATAGCTTAAAGTTGAAAATATTTTCTGAATAGTAAGTACTTGAAAGGTTCATTCCCCTCCATTCTTTTGCTCTCAGCAACAGTTGTCTTCACAAAACTAGTTATATTTTGCCACTGCAAGCTCTCGCTTTCTTTGAATAATGATCATAGACGATGAAGTTGCATATTTATGAAAGTGGCGGGGCCTCGGCTTCTGCCTTCCATTCCTTTCTAAAAACTGCTTTGTTAGAAAGGAGAAGAGATGAACATCTTCGGAACAGATCTGATTCTGTGGCATATTGATCTTTTTTTTTTTTTTTTTTTTGATTTTTTTTTTTTTTTTTGTAGATTTGACATATAATTCTTCTTTTTCTTCCGAGTTTTTCATTTTATTTCTGTAGCCTTTTCTTCAGTTGTTTTTTAGGTTTTTTTTGGGACAGCTTTTTTTACTGTTTAAAGCAGCTTTTTAGTACAAAAATTTAAATTTTGGTACTAAAAAGTTGCTTTAAGAAGCAGTAAGAAAGCCATCCCATTGATCCCAAACAAAATCTTAATATGCTAAAATGGATGTTTTGTTGACGTTCATTTGACTTTGAAGCTCTAAGTGGAATCGCTTTCTAATTAATGCTTTGTATTAAGATCACAACCATTATTTCAATTTGGTCATTATTTTTTCTTTTCTTTCAAAAAATTTATATAACTATAAGAAGCAGTAAGAAAGCCATCCAAAACAGAGCCTAAGTTTCTCCATTTTGATCAGGGTAATTCAGATGCAGTCGCCATCATTCGGAACTTGCCATCTAGTCCGACCAAGATTAAAATAGTGGAAAGGCTGACTAGATAGTTTCACTTAAATAACTCATCACAGCTACTCGCCAAAAAAAGGAAAA